ATGGAAGAAAGATATGTAACCGAATCATCATTCAAAATTAACATTGTAGCATTAATGCTCAATAAATCTTGAACAACAACAACAACCAAGTGTTAATTAACATTTTTTTTGTTTTATTTATCTAGTAAACTAAGGAATAATAACTTGTTATAATGGCTTCCCATTCTCCGCTCCCTTTAGTATCATAAAACGGAACAGACAAAACCGTTATTCAAACTGTGAAATTTAAAAGACATACGAAATGGGTGGTACATTTAAGGATCATAGAATTCAAAAAAATATATGTGTAGATATAGAAATAGTTAATTCACCATTCACAGAAACAGTGCAGAACGCTGAAATACTCCTAATATCCAAATAATGCTAAAATATATAAATATACTCCTATAGCGATGGGTCAGTGACGACACTCCCACATATATGTATGTATGTGTGTGTGTATATATATATATATACAGGGTGACTACATCGGAAACAAAAAAGCGAAAGAATTTGAAACGATGTTTTTACTACAATGTACAATCTTATTCAGTTGTATTCAGTCGATGTGTCAGTCGGTAACGCGTGAGTGAATAGTGAATACAAAATGGCACATGTTTACGAAAATGCTGAATGTAGTACAAAGGGCTCGTGAATCAGGTGACTTAAGACCTCACAGGGGAGGGCATGCCGGTGCTCCAAGACCGGACGATCAAATACAGGTCCGCACTGAAATACTTTATAAAAAAGAAGGTAACATTTTTTTTATTTTTACACACATATTTTGGTTTATCTTCCTTCTACAATCATTATCTGAAAATTAATGACTCAACTTCAAAGTCACCCTGTATATATATACAGGGTGACTTTGAAGTTGAGTCATTTATTTTAACAGTGAGTAGATCTGATCAAAAGAAATGTTTTTTCCTTTAACATTTTTGTGGTAAAATTAAAGTAACAAAGTTATAGCCCTTTAGAAGTTTGAGTACCGCCCTGTCTCAATAATAATATTATGTGCTCGTGTTTGGCGACAACGGATATACTCCGCCTTATCGGTTCATTGCATCGGAAACAAAAAAGCGAAAGAATTTGAAACGCTGATCACGATGTTTTTATTCAGTCTGTGTCAGTCGGTAACGCGTGAGTGTTTGCTGCGTGGCTCAAACGAAATAAAAAATGGCACATATTTATGCGGATCGGTCTCCCAATCGAGTGCAACCAACCCCTCGTGCCTTTGTTAATGTAGTACAACGGGCTTGTGAATCAGGTGACTTAAGACCTCACAGGGGACTGCATGCCGGTGCTCCAAGACCTCATGATCAAATACAGGTCCGCACTGAAATACTTGTCGGGAGGATACTTTATAAAACAAGGTAAACATTTTTTTTAATTTTTTTTTATTTTTACACACATATTTTGGTTTATCTTCCTTCTACAATCATTATCTGAAAATTAATGACTCAACTTCAAAGTCACCCTGTATATATATATATATATATGTGTATATGTATGTATGTGTATATATGTGTGTATATATATGTATCCATGTATATAGTTTTGTATTTTAGTTTATAGTATAGTTTAGTTATAACTATAATTTTTTTATAACATCTTAGGCAACGCACATTACATCGTGCTCTAAATGTACTGACAAAGATAGTTAAGTGTAAGAGTAGCCTTGGCTAAACTTCGCTATCTTTGTCCCTCACCTGTACAACAAATAAAGTCGTTATTATTATTATTATTATTATATTCAGCAGTTGGAGTTTGCTACCCGTAGCTCAGTCGGCTCTGGCTTCCCCGATGATGCAGCAAGCAATGATTTGAGTTATTTCGAATTGTGAGCACATGATACATCAGACATTTATCATTTAATTTTCCAGTTGTTACCGGGATCAGAAGCTTCTTAGTGATAGAACGACTTTGACCAATACTAAACACGTAACATTTTCGACCCCCTACACCCTACAAAAAAATTTCCGAAAATGATCAGGAGCCTCTGAAACGTCAAAAAACGAAGTTGAGCGATTTTTGTTTTTTTTTTCGGGCTTTAGTCCTTAGTTTGGTCACCGCTGGACAGCGATTTCCAAAAACTACAAAGCCTTTTCAATCTTGACATAGTAGTAACCTTGAGTGAAAATTTCATCAAAATCTGAGCAATACTTGTCAAGTTATAGACGGTTATGAAATTAGCAGACAGACGGACAGACAGACAGACCGATGGAAATGGGTGACACGTTTTTTCGTGATGTACATGTCGAATAACATCTAAAAAACAATATCGCAATTTCGAGATTTTTCGCGATTACAATACTTTCTCGACAGTTTTGGCATGCGAAGTAGAAATATAATGAGACCCTCGGCACATACCACGATTTTATTTCGTGGATCTGTCTTATTGGTCTGATTCTATGAGCTATTTCCGCTACAGCAGACTGGATTCTTCCTAACCTCACTCCGTATCCCGGAATATTCCGGGAGAAATAATAATCCGGTGCTCTCTTTTGAGCATGTCCTGACGGCGCGCAAAACAAATCAATACCAACCGCAGCCTACTAGACGGTATACGTAATCCTGTCAACAAATAGAGCTCTTCTGACGCCGGGATTTTCCTACGCGAAAATCGGAAAGTCGCTGGAAAACTGTGTCGGATTCTCAAGTGATTCAGTGTGCAACTAGCTGTTTTTGAGACTTGAATGTTGTGAGATTGTGCGTTGCGAATTTCGTGGTGAAGTACGCGCGTTTTTGGGCAGTCGCGAATCAACGTTGCATTGAGTGATTCCTTTGTTTCTGGAATGGCTTCCAAGGTGATGGTCAACCTGCCAGTAGCTCCTTTTGGGCAGGTGAGGTCATATAGCTCCTGAAACTTATTCTGTGGTTGTTTCGCTATTCATCAATATGTTTTATTTGTACTTTGAAAACTTTTTTCGACATTTGTGTGTTTCAAATAAGGTCATATGTGGCTGGTCAATGTCTGAGATTTACAAGGTTTTTACAGAATCGTATAGATCAGGATAAGTGAATGTAAAATAATGTATAGATGTATTTCACACATTTACGTGCTTATGGGTAAATGAAAAGGTCCTCATCCAAAGATATGAAAAAATTTAACTGGATAACTTTTTGCTTATACGTCAAATTTGGAAAATCAATGTCCGCGTATATTTAAAAAACTAGTGTAAGTGTTTAAATATTTGGTCTACCGAATAGTTAGTAGGAGACGAAAATACATTCAAAATTGTACCTAATATGTTTTATTTGCTACATCGCGAGTACTATGTTGAAAAAATTTATAAATTGATTAACAAAATTCTTCACTGTAATAAGTGAATGACATTAAAAGATTTATTCAACGTTTGCATAACTGTAATAATAATCATAAGAATTGAATCTTATGAAGTTCAAGGTCAACCTTTTTATGCTTATGGCTATGAGTTTGCAAAATTGTATAAAAGCATTTATAAGAAATACCCATTTCAACTCTTACACTTACGTCAATGGACGTGACTATGGTTATTAAAATGCTGTATAAGCCCGCCATAAATCTAAATTCAACAATTTCTGAAAAGTTCGCTTTTTCAAGATGAAACGACGTAATTTGACAATATTTCAAGACTTTTTCATCCTCGAAAACTCCTCTTGGAATAGACCATATTTCCATGTTTAATAAAAAAGCTAACCAGCAAATCTTTGCCAGCTTTCATGGCGGAATTTTCATTAACTGTCAATACAATTTCCGTCATAAAATGCATAATTCCCTTCGAAATTTTAGACATTTTTGTTTGTTAGGTTAAGACAATGAGATAAATTAAATACAGTATCTTTGGGATAGATAGCTAAACAAGCACTGTACGTGGTTTCATTTGGCTTTAAGGTCATGAGTCCTATTTACTTATCACTTGTTAACCTTTTGTGGTACGTGGAAATAGGAATTAATAGAAAATGAGCTTTTAAGATTATCGGACATACACACATCAACAGTGGCGGACTTAGGGAGGAGGCGCGGGGGGCGGCGCCCCCCTAGACGTCTGTCACTTGCTATTGTAATCTAACACCAATGTGTTAGGTACATCATGGCGACAGAGGCATACTAACTTTTTTTCGGTTAACAGAGCAATGAAGTTTTTTATTTTTTAATCTTTAATATTGTTACACTAGTTAATTATAAATGCCACATACTTATTTTGTTCTCATTCAATCAAATATTATATATAAAAAATACCAACCCCAAATATCGCTTGCGCCCTCCCCTAGACGAAATCCTAAATCCGCCCTTGCATATCAATGTAACTCCTGTAAGTTATTGGTTTTCTACTTGAAAAAGGTTACCGTCATGACCGATACTAAGTGCGATGAACAGAAGTTAAAACATATACGAGTATGGTTTGACTCACCAAACAATGGAGTCCCATACACAGATTCGTTAGGTCTCGCTACTTCTTGCATGGGTGATATGTCGGTCCATATTCCAGGGCCTCTCACGAATCTAATTATAGAAAAATCTAATGAAAATGTGTTAACCAAACGGAGCTTTATCTAGCAGACCTTTATATTTACAGCTGCTAACCTGAAGCATTCCACCATAGAATCTTACCTCTATAATAACCTGCCTGTCTGTGCCATATTTAAAGACAAACGTAAAAAAACTTTGTTTTTGAAAATATATCATAATTCTCTTATTGTCTAGTTTTTGACTTGTGTAATGATAGCTCTGTTAACTGTGACGATGTCTTATTTTTTTGATCGGAATTAAAATTTTCCCCATTTTTATGCTACTCCCTTCTTTAGCACAAATATTTACATGTTCTAAATCTCCACATCTCACCTTTAACTGCCAAAAGTACTGTAACTTTTGTTGTAAATTTTATTTTCACATTATTTATATTTTTCCCAGCTTCATTAACTTTGCATTGTAATTTTGTTTGGCCCTAGTTGGTATGAAAAGCAGCTTTTACCTAATACCCGTGAAAGATATTATTATTATTATTATTATTATTATTATTATTATCATTATTTTCTAGGTGAACAAATCAAAATCAGGGACAGTGAGCAGCGATATCGTGATGGCTCGCCCGAACCAAGATACTCCCCAGCAGCGAAATACCACCGAAATCACCAAGAATGACGCTGGTGAAGGTTCTAGAGTCGCACAGCTGGAACAGAACATCAAATTTTTGCAGGAACAGCACGCGTTAATGTTGAACGGTCTTCATAACGAAATCGAAAGTCTCAAGATTAGGAATAGGGGTAGGTACTAATATTCAGAACAATTTGAAATTCTCCTAAAAGACGCATTTCCTCCTCTTTCATCTCCTTATTCTTTTCTTTTTTCCTTTTACTTCCTGCGCTACTGGCGTGGAAGTTTTGTAATCACGAAACATTTCGAAATTGAGCTATTATATTTTTTTGATGTTGTATGATATCTACATCACGAAGAACCATGCCACTAATTTTCGTCAGTCTTTTTGTTCGCTGATCCTTGAACTGCTTATAATTTGGAAAGTTTCACACAGGGTTACTACTGCGTCAAGGACAAAAAACTTGTGGCTTTTGAAAATCGATTTAGTGACAGACGGGTAATAAATTGGAGGCAATTAAATTTTGAAGAACGGAGGAGAAAGAGGATACTTAGCTAAAAGTAGCGCCTCTGATACGAGGGATGTCTTTTAAGTTTTGCATATGGGAATAAAACAACACGGTAGGTAGTTTTAAATGACTTTATTGTTTTTCGAAGTATTCTCCACGAAGATTAATACACATTTGCATGCGCTCGAACCAATTTTCGAAGCACTATTCCACTCGTTTGCTGGCAGATCCAAAACGGCATTTTTGAATGCGTCAACTGCTTCTTCTGGTGACTGGAACCTTTGACCACACAGTCTGTTTTTAATTTTCTGGAAAGTAAAGAAATCGTTAGGACTGAGATCGGGACTATATGGAGGATGGTCCAATAATATTCCACGTTTTCTTCCGTTAAATACTGCCTTGTTTTTTGGGCTGTATGCGAGCTTGCATTGTCTTGGTGGAGGATGATTCTTCTTTCGGGGTTGATTTTTCGAAGCTCGGTGATAACTTTTGGCAAACAAATGGTGGTATACCAATCCGCAGTAACAGTTCTTTGCTCATTAAGAGGAATTATTGCAATATGACCCGCTTTTGACACAAATGTCGCGACCATCTTTTTCGAAACACTTCAAGAACGGATGACTTTTGTTGGAGTTTCTTCACCTTGGAACACCCAAACAGCCGACTGTCGTTTATTTTCTGGTTTATAACAGTAAATCCACGATTCATCACCACTAACAATGCTGTACACATTTTTTAAGTTTCCGGAATTGAAACGGGTTTTTTGACACCAATAAACCCTGGCTGCATTCTGCTCTTCAGTCAACAGGTGGGCTATCCAACGAGAAACTAATTTTCTTACTCCTAATTCTTCATGTAAAATTTTTTGAATTGAGGTCTATGAGATTTTCAAGGACGCCTCAATCTCGCGATATGTCACATGTCTATCTTCAATGATGAGCATCGACGTTTTCCTGGGTGACTGCCGCTTTTGGTGCACCCACCCAGGGGTCGTCGCTAAGACTCACCCATCCACGTTTGAATTCTCCATACCAACGGGAAATTGTTGACTGATGTGGCGCTTCGTTGCCGAAAACAGACAGTAACTCAGCAAGGCATTCTTGTTGCCATAACCGTCTCTGAAAGTTGTAATAAATTATGGCGCGAAAATGTTCTCGGTTGAGTTCCATTTTTCTAATGACTTGGTGACACTTAAAAATTCACTATAGTGAGAATACTGCACGTATTGTTGTGAAACTTTGAATTTAAGTTTACTAAAAAGTGAGTTTAAGATTCAGTACTGAGGTTCGATCCGCGCGGCCTACTATGTTTCTATATGCAAAACTTAAAAGACATCCCTCGTAAGCAAATGTTCTTGTAACAAAATTGAAGAACGGGGAGTGGGATAGGCCTAGAGGTCTTGCAAGGTCATTTTCACTAAGATGCAGCAATAACTATCGTCTTTCGAAAAAATGGCAGAATTGGGATTTCTCTTAGAGGAAGGGGAAGGGATATCTATCGGCGAGAAATAACTTTTTATGAAAGCGTATCTGCCTCCAGAACTGTTTGAAGAGCAAGTGGTAGCATATTCACTCAGAGTACTAAAGAGCCCCGAAATTGTACACAAACACACTGTTTGGCTAACTGGATCAATTTAATTTTTTATAAAAAATGTTCGTAGCTAACTTTTTTCTGTGAGGAGCCAACTTGTGCCGAACTTTATGAACTGATTACAGCGTTCAGTAGGAAATGCAGATTCAACCTACTTCATTTAGCCTGTCCTATCTACTGATCGACCTACCCACCTCTAATCAAGTACAAACGTCGACTCTGACATACAAAGATGAACAAAAGAAGGTACTGAAAAAGACGGTAATGCAATTTAAGATGATCAATATGTGGTTACAAAGTATTGTTTCAATTTTCGTCAGAAACAAATTTATAGAAACGTTTAATAAGCTGATCCACAGTCTCGTTTTTGAAATATTTTTGGCTTGAAAATTCGAATGGATTAATCTGTTGGTGTTTTCCATATTGCTTTATCTCGCAAAGGGAAACAATTATTGAAATTCTTCCAAAATGTTGTCAAATAGTTGACTCTGCATTTTATACACAACGCTATTTTCACTTCATGGAGGATTAAGTCAGTCAAATAGGCTTATACAATTAGTCCATAGTCTTCAATTTGACAACGTTGAAATTTAGAAATGTTCCCCTTGCTCTACCGACAGTACCGAACACCTGACAACGTCGCTACACATCGTCATCCAGACAGCGGCAACGGTCAGAGTAAAGCTAGAAGGAAGTACTATATATGATGTGTGACATATACATATGTGTAATAGGTACGTGGCTGGAAGCGTATACAGGGTGACTTCGAAGTTGAGTCATTTATTTTAACAGTGAGTAGATCTGATCAAAAGAAATGTTTTTTTCCTTTACCATTTTTCTGGTAAAATTAAAGTAACAAAGTTATAGCCCTTTGGAAGTTTGAGTACCGCCCTGTCTCAATAATAATATTATGTGCTCGTGTTTGGCGACAACGGATATAATCCGCCGTATCGGTTCATCGCATCGGAAACAAAAAAGCGAAAGAATTTGGAACGATGTTTTTACAATTATTTTATTCATTTGTATACAGTCAGTGTCAGTGAATAGTGGTATCTGTTGCGTGGCTCAAACGAAATAAAAAATGGCACATGTTTATGCGGATCGGTTTCCCAATCGAGTGCAACCAACCCCTCGTGCCTTTGTTAATGTAGTACAACGGGCTCGTGAATCAGGTGACGGCATGCCGGTGCTCCAAGACCTCACGATCAAATACAGGTCCGCACTGAAATACTTGTCGGGAGGATACTTTATAAAACAAGGTAAAATTTTTTTTAATTTTTTTTTTATTTTTACACACATATTTTGGTTTATCTTCCATCTACAATCATTATCTGAAAATTAATGACTCAACTTCAAAGTCACCCTGTATATACAGGGTGTTTCAGTTTATTGTTGCATAACTTTAAGATTCGATAGAACTTTTAAAATTAATGCATAAGGTCTATATAAACATGGGTCGAGAAACGCGTGGCTTCCGAAATACAGGGTGTTGAAATTTACTTTCTAAAATAGTTTTTTTAAATATTTCGAACAATATTTGATGTATAACAGTGAAATTGGTATACAAGGGTTTTTTGGTACGACAAAACGAACCATGGGTATAGTTTTACTGTAGCCGCTAGAGGGCGCTCTCTACTGTACCTTTAGTGTATTAAAATGACCGAAAATTTTTTCTTAGTGCAATTTTTTGCTTTTTGAATAAAAAAACTGATTCTTCGCACTTTTCAACATAAAAAAGCTCTCCTGTGAGTTTTCGTTATAGTTAGCCGTTTTTGAAATATCTCGATTTTTATGGTTCGATGCATTTTTAATTATTTATGAGAAAATAATATTTTTTTTACATTTTCGATTTGGGCATTACAAGTAATTAAGATGATCGTTTAGATTGTGTTTTTAAACACAGCAATAATTCCTAACTCCAAATAAACACAAAAAAACAGACTATTAATTTGTTTAATTTTCCAATATTATTTTTAACAAATTAAATTAATTATTTACAACTAAAATGCTATTGGATAGTTAGAACAAACATACAAAATCTAAAGTAGTTGCTCGAAATGTAAACCCAATTGTTCAATACACAATTCACATCTACGAATGATCGAACGTGGTATAGCATTATTCAAATAAGGCCTTATTTCATCACATGCATTCCTGATTCTGTCTATTAGCATATCTCTTGTGGTTACGGGAGTCTGGTACACTTTTTCTTTTAGAAATCCCCACACAAAGAAATCTAATGGATTTAGGTCAGGGGATCGTGGAGGCCAGGCGACTGGTCCTCCACGGCCGATCCATATTCTCGTCCAGCCAGTTTCTAACTATTCTCGAATAATAAGCTGGACAACCATCAAGCTGGAACCAGGCCAATCTTCTTAAATCTAACATAACATCATCCCACATATTTGCATGTTCAGCCTTTAAAAATTCCAAGAAGGTCGCAGCATTTAACCTTGCAGGCAAATGGTAGGGTCCAAATAGTCGATTACGGTAGATACCAATCCACACATTCACACTAAATTCATGCTTTAAATTTATTTCCCGAACTGCATCCGGATTTTAATGCTACCAAATATGTTGATTATGAAAATTTACCACTCCACGTCTAGTGAAGCATGACTCATCGGTCCATAAAACGTTACTTAAAAACTCCCTATTATTATCAGTTCTATCAAGAATCCACTGACAAAATGTGATTCTTTGTTCTCCGTCCCCTGGCTGTAGTCCTTGCACAGGTTGCAAATGGTAAGGACGTCTATGGTCATTTCTAAGAACACGGTGAACATGGCTTGCTGAAATTCCCAAGGCACCAGAAACTCTCCTAACACTTGTGGTCGGATCTCTATCAAACTCACGCAGAATCATACGGGTACATCTGCGCTGACGAACATTTATGTTTTGATCCCTTTGGAGATTTCCAAAACAATTTTCAATTATTTGGCGATGCACTCTTACAAATACTGAGCGAGATGGATGTCGTCTGTTTGGAAATCTTCGTGCGTATTCTCTGGCTGCTTCTGCTGCGTTTCCATTTACCAAGCCATACACAAAATGAATATCCGCTAACTCTTGATTGGAGAATAAAAATGGCATTTTTATAAAACTTACAAAAAAAACAGGTAAAAGAAACTAAATTCCGTGCATTCACAATTGCAAAAAAATGTTTCAGGTTCCAACAGACAACAAAACTAACTGTCAACTAATTGACGTTTAACCTTATTCTGCTTTCAATTTCAAAAATATTTGCAGGCACAGCCTACTTCTAAAAATTAACGTTATTTTATCATAAATAATTAACAATGCATCGAACCTTAAAAATCGAAATATCTCAAAAACGGTTAACTATAACGAAAATTCACAAGAGAGCTTTTTTTATCTTGAAAAGTGCGAAGAATTAGTTTTTTTATTCAAAAAGCAAAAAATTGCACTAAGAAAAATTTTTCGGTCATTTCAATACACTACAGGTACAGTAGAGAGCGCCCTCTAGCGGCTACAGTAAAACTATGCCCATGGTTCGTTTTGTCGTACCAAAAAACCCTTGTATACCAATTTTCACTGTTATACATCAAATATTGTTCGAAATATTAAAAAAAAAACTATTTTAGAAAGTAAATTTAAACACCCTGTATTTCGGAAGCCACGCATTTTTCGACCCATCTTTATATAGACTTTATGCATTAATTTTAAAAGTTCTATCGAATCTTAAAGTTATGCAACAATAAACTGAAACACCCTGTATATGTATACATATATGTATATGAGGGGGTACCAAAAAAAAAACGGAATTATTTTTTTAAAGTTATTTGATTTCAACTCTTTTACAAAGTAACCTTATCTCCTTCAAAATACTGTCCACTACAACTAATACACTTGTCCCATAGCATCATCTTTGTGAGCTATTTTCAACATTAAAATAGTTTCAGCAGCATTTCTACCAGTTAGAAATCAAAATTTCACAGCTGCACGTTCCTCACTGAAGCTTGCCATCGTAGAAATCGAAGCAAGTACGAAACAGCTCTAGAAAAAATAATGACTACAGCGGAACGAAACAAGCCAGATCGACAACTCAGGTGGCACTGAACTGGTAATGAGTTGCGCTGTACACCTGTAGGGGCAGAAATGTCTACTACACAAGCTCCGCCCACTGCAATGCTATTTCGGTTATTTTTTGGTACCTCCTCGTATGTATACTAACGCCAAAAAAATTAGATATACTCTCCCTCACCCCTTACAACCACTTAGTCCTTAATTTTTACAAACATTTTTCTGAAAATGAGTCTCTAAAGCGTTGAAAACGAAGTCTGAACGATTTTTATTTTTTTTGCCTGTAACTCTGTGGGCACTGGATTCAAACATTACAAAGCTTTTTCGACCTTGGGGTCAAAATTTTGTCAAAATCCGGCAGGTTACTTCCAAGTTATAGCAGAACCCAGGATTAGCTGACCGACAGACCGACAGAACTGTGTGACATGGTTTTACGTAGTGTAGATGTTACGTAACATCAAAAGGTCATAATCATATTTTCGAAATTCTTCGCATTTACGATATTTCCTCGCCAATTAGCGTGGGATGCAAAATTAACCGTACATAAGTATTTAGTAAGGAAGCTGACAAATTCACAGCCTCTGGACGCGCTGTATGGAAGAAGTTCGATTTAATTGTTACGTGTTACTTGTGGATATCCGGCAGGCGGTTGGGGAGGAGTTGCATCTCCGACTGACGCACCGATAGAATGATATTAAGTGACATTTTTCCTGAATGTAACATCTTGTACCCTAAGAACAGGCGACATTACATCTTCATGATTTTTTTGGTGGACAAAACGATTGCCGTAGATCCACCTTCGGATGCTTATCATAGAATTGAGTGTCTGCCTACCCACCCGCATTTTTAAAAAGATCATGAGCGTTTCAATTGTGGCTAGCACTTTGGATAATGAAAACGAGAGAGTCGGAGAATTTACGATATTACTTTCTTACATATTTTGTTCTAGAGCTACAGTTCCAACTTATATTTGCAAATAAAGGCTCAACACCTATTAGTTCTCCATCGTCGTCCTCAGAAGATGACTCAAAACACAAGGTAAAAATGATCCCAAATATTTTCCTTGATATTTTTTGAATATTGTCAATTTTTAGGTTTACTCTAGTCCACAACCCCTGAATGATACGCCACTGCAAGTGGAGATATTAGAAAAGGAATTGGGAGAATTGAAAATTCAACTTCAGGAGGCGGAAAAGAGGAATGTGTATTTTTCAACGATAGTCGATGAACAGAAAAAGTAAGTATCAAACTTATACTCAAGTAGTACAACTTTCCAAATTATTGGCAAAAATATCAGACATTTGATTTGATGCCACTGCAACTTAACAAGGATGAGATTTAAGTTTCAAAGTTTAAAGCTCAAATTCATAATCTATAGTCTACGATTATTTTTGAAAACTCATAAACCAACAAAAGCAGACAATCAATAGAATCAACACAATTCTGTATAAAAAATCTTAAGGCTAGCACAGAGTGGGGGATGGCAACGTACAGCATCGAAAAGGCAGCCCAAACTGATGAGACGGATTTTCGAAATACCGCGTGCGTATGTCAACATTCCATAACATCTCACCAGTTTACGACAGTGTATAACTATATTGCGCAGCACTTAAGAGTTCGAAAATGCCGGGCTATAGATACAGTCAGCAAGTCAGTCAGCTGACAAGCCCATCGATATTGCCAGGGAGGATTTGTCTTTCGGCATCGGAAAGCATACTCTGGGTTTCCGCTTCGGAAAGCTTCGGCATGCCGTGGCATCTCATGACTGACATGCTATAGTCACTCTCGTAATAAGTTGGTGGGGTGCCACGATATACCGACGCCTCCTGTAGCGATATTCCACTGTATGTCTTTCGATATATGAGGAAGGTTTGCCACTCGACATCGGAGAACATACACCACGCATCTCCTGGCTGTTAACCTATAAGCACTATCGTTATAAATTGGCGAGAAGACACGGTATGCTGAAGCTTCCAACGGAATACTCATCAATATCCTAGAAAGGATTTTTCTCTCGGCATCGGAGAGCATACTGTGGGGTCACTCGGCAAGAGACGTCGGCATACCGCGGCATATCTTAGTTGGTTGTGGTCACTGTCGTAATATGCAGGTGGAATGCCGCGGTATGCCGACGCGTCCCATCGGAAGATTCCACGGCTTGCCAATCGATGACCAAGGAACGGGATGTCTTTCGGCATTGGAAAGCATGCTCTGGGTGCCCGATTCGGAAAGCTTTGGCATGCCGCGGCATCTCCTGGCTGACACTCTCGTAATAAGTTGGTGGGGTGCCACGATATGTCGACGCCTCCCGTAGCGATATTCCACGGTATTCCTTTTGATATATGAGGAAGGTTTGCCCTTCGGCAGTGGAGAACATAATGAGGCTTCCGTCAGTAGGAAGCGCCGGCATATCGCGCATCTCCTGGCTGTTAATCTATAAACACTATCATAATAAGTTGGCGAAAAAACACGGTATGCGGAAGCCTCCCACAGCATACTCATCAATATCCATATTTTAGTTGTAGGGTTTTGGTCACTGTCGCAATGCCTCGGTATGCCGACGCTTTCCATCGCAACATACCACGGCATGCCTGTCGATAACCAAGGAAGGATTTGTGTTTCGGCATCTGGGTTTCTTCTTTGGAAAGCTTTGGCATGCCGCGCCATCTCCTGGCTGAGCCGCTATAGGCACTCTCGTAATAAGTGTAATAATTTGGTGGGGTGCCACGATATGCCGACGCCCGCGTCGCGATATTCCACTGTATGCCTTTCGATATATGAGGAAGGATTGCCCCTCGGCAACGGAGAACATAATGAGGAATCCGGCAGTAGGAAGCGTCGAAACACTACCATAATAAGCTGCTGGCGAGAAGACACGGTATGCTGAAGCGTCCCACGGCATACTCATCAATATCCTAGTAAGGATTTTTTATCAGCATCGGAAAGCACGCTATGGGTTTTTGGTATGGAACGTGCCTACAGTCTAATGACGGGCTATAAAAACTTTCGTAATAAGCTGGTGGGGTGCCATGATGTGGCGACGGCTCCTATCGCGATATTCCACGATATGCTTTTCGATATACGAGGAGAGATCCGACAGCAGAAAGTGTCGGAACACCGCGCAACGTGTCACTCTATAGATACCTACTATCATAAGAAAACACTGTATGCTGAAGCCTCCCACGGCACGCCCATCAATATCCTAATAAGGATTTTTTCTCGGCATCGGAGAGCATGCTGTGTAGTCTCGCGACAAGAGGCGTCGGCATACCCCGGCATCCCCTATTTATTAGGTTGTAGATACCGCAATAAGCTGGTGTGATGTACGGTATGCTGACGCCTTTCATCTCAAGATCCCACGGCATTGTTGTCCATATCCCTTTACTCTCAGCATCGGAGAGCACGCTGTGTAATCCCGCTCACTAAAAAGGCACGATGTCGCGAGGGATTCTTCAGTGTATGCTACCAATAGGGACAGAGTCTTCCGTGATCTCCCTTCCGCCCCCCTGAGCGTTAGCCTGATTGTACAATTTGTTATAACTTAAACTTTTTGTCAGAAAACTGGAAAGCTACGAAAGCACCAGCAGCAGAAACGCTGAAACCAGCCCATCGGCTCAAGCCGACCCAGATCTGGCCCGTCGGTTGGACGACGCCGAAGCCCTGATCAGGAGGTTAAGAAGGGAGAACTCGGATATCAAGAGGGAGTACCACCATTCTTATAACAATGGAAGGGATAGAGGAGAGAACGGGTACCAGGGAGGCAGTAGAGGATCTGGAAGGGGAAACAGAGGAGGGAATGAAGGTCAAGAAAGGAGACATAAAGGAGGAGGCGGGAACGGACATTACAGGTGAGGGTTCTTTGGTTTTTAGAACATGCTTTTTTGGTATTGAAAGGAAAACTCTGCGTAATTATGACCTCTACACAAAATCTTGACACGTCCATCTGTGGTGTCTTTATGTGTAGATATGTGTGTTTGACTGTGGCATCGTAGCTCCCCCGATGTGAGTGCATTTTTTACTAGGAAATGTCTGATAATAATCGGTCCAGTAAGTAAAGGAATATGCCTGAGTGGGGTATCAGATGAAACGTGGAATTCATAGATTATTAAAATTTACGGAAAATCAGTCAAGTAGTTTAAAAGTTCTGTATTGTTCTCAACTCCGATGCAAGAACTTCCAAACGGATGAACAGATTTGAGTACGTTTTCTACTCGATCGTCTTATTTGTCAAAATGATAGCTATGTTTGACGAAAATCTGCTCATCTGTATCAAATCTAAAGGGAAGTTAGCGCGGGCTGAGCAATTCAAAGTCAGCGAATATAGCTGAATGAGGTATCAGATGAAAGAGTTTGATTTGTAGATAAAAAGCACGAGATTCACTTGAAGGTTTATCAATTTGTTACTTATTTTCCCAGAACCAATTGGTTCCCGCCCCTCCACACCCAAAGCTATTGGCAACACGGCGGCGGTCGTAGCAGCCGATCGGTAAATGACAATGTATGCAGAGCTACGAATGTGGGCGTGGCCAACACCAATCTAGGCGGTCCCGAAGAGGCAGTGGCGATCACAGGGGCTGCGTTGCCAGCTCTTGGCGGAGGCGGCGACCGCAGAGCTTCCAACAACAATCACCATCATCACAACAATCACCATCAACAGCATCATTATAGCAACGGGGGCGGCAAGTACCACAGAGGCGGGGGCGGGCAAAAGAAGCAGACCTAATGGTGGGCGGGGCGAGATAGGCGACGTAGGAGGGGCAATCTGGAGGAGCAGGATGGTACGCAAAGTGAGTTACATTTTTCTTAATTGAAATAGTCAAGAAAGCAAAGGTAAAGGGTCTACTAGATAGTGAAGCTGTCAAAAAGATAATAGACCGCTTTCTACTTGTTATTCAACTTGAATTGACCCACGGCAGATTATTTTAGCATATCACAACAAGCAAAATCTGTGACTACAAACACAACAATTCAAGTTGCAAACAAGCCTACGGTAAAGTTGAAACAAATCAATGCACAATAATAATTTATTTTTTTAATCCCCCAAGTTTGTCTGCCCAATCACAGTCACATGTGTTTAAGATTCTTCTTTATTGAACGACAAATAAAAATATATTGAACATGAAGAATGGTATCTTTGGGGACAGAGTTCGTTAAACATATGTGGTTTTGATTGGCCAGACAGACATGGGGGATTATTGAAACATGAAAGCCACATGATAAGTTTCAAATTGTTTTATGTTTACGTGTTTTATTATAGATTTGAAGTGGAGCGTTTAAAAAATAAAGTATCTACTAGCATAAAAAGAAAGTTGTTCAAAATATTCTTGTTATAAATAATTCAACTTGTTTGATTTATTTTACAGAGCCAAAAACGCCGCTCATAGACCTGGTCCGTAATGCTATAGAAGGTTAATTTTTATTTAAAATGTTTTCAGGTCCAGATGCTCACCCTCAACACTGAGCATAACAAAAAAACATCACCGACATCGCCATCTCGCCAATATGTTGCTGTCATCAAAGATGTACGTATAGTTATTATATGCACATAGGGCCCTAAAATAGGTGGAATGAACATTTACCTACACTTCATGAGCTTGATGTTCAGCACACACTTAAGCACGGTAGTGGAGTGCACCGACATTTCCTTTTCGGCCGCGCACGTTGATGAGATAAATGAGTACCTCATAATGCCGCGAGCATCAGTCATCATCCGGGAAATGCCGTCTTATACCGAAATTACCACGGCGTCGCGAAAGCTTGTAGCATGCTCTCCGATGCCGAGAGTATTGGAGGATATATTCTGGGATTCCGTGGCGAAAAGCGTCGTTATGTTGCGGTATCTTTCAGGGCTGCGTTCGTAAATTGTTACAGAGTCTACTTTGTGCTACTCTGTGGCAATTTTAACGTTCGTGATCGTTTGGCGTACCTGTTTCATGTCTTGCCGTGCCGTTAGGTCAGGTTTGCGATCATACCCGATTCGCATGGATCTTCGTGACGGACTGAGGCCCGACGCCTAAATAAGTACGCTTTATCACAGCTGAAATAAGGACGTGCCTTATCCCTATCGGTATTTGCGCATGCGTTGATGTCAAAATGAAGTCTGCAGTAATAAGGTGGTTACTCTATATGCCTTTATTGAGAGGGATTCCATTCCTTTCGATGCTTTCCCCTGCCATCCCCCGGTGTGCGCTTGCTGTTGCTTTTTATCCTTTATTGTGAAAACGTCTGATTTCATGTATTTCCCAAAACAAATTATGCGGTTCTGCTTATTTCATCCTATCCGAAAAAATCGACAAAATGTTCAGTCCACCTTGAAGTAATTCATTCCAAAATTAACATACTCGAAATATTATTTTTCGTGATAAAATGTGTTTAGAGGTCTGTTATAATTACAATTTACTTATTATAGAGGATTGTAGTGAAAAATTGGAAAATTGATAATTTCTAAAATAAAAAATGAACTGTTAACTAAAATGGCAGCTGCCGTTGGAAGTACCTATCACATGTAATTTTTTTCCTGCTCGTCATAACGATTGTGCTCTAGATTAGGCCAGTTTATCGATATATGGTATTCAATTAACTCTTGTTAGATTTGGTAATTTAAATAAGTTGAGCTTCTTAATAAATCTTAACATAAACACATTTTTTAATGAGATAGATACATAGGATTCCAAAACATACGTGTGGTTTGATTTTGTCAGGCAATGGAGTCCTATAAACATGAAAACTACAGGGTAAGTTATCCTGAGATAGGTATATTTCAACTTTAATGTTCTGCATTTCTTATTTTTCGTATTTCTCCCAACCTGTATGCCAAAAATAAGTTTCGCGCCAAGAACGAATAATTTATTGTCTAGCGATTCAAATTTTCTTTGTGGAGTGGATATTTCGGCTTTCTTTAGCACTTGTTAGGCTGTGATTATAATATTTAATAACTGTTATTGGATCAATTTTCATTATAGAAGTAAATGGAGGGACACTCGCTGAATATTCAGTTTAAAGTTATGTGTGAGGTCCAATTGTATTCATCAAAGGTCGCGAATATACGGCTAATAAAATATATTCATGGGCTTTGAGGTTTCCTGCAATAACGGTATCATTAGAAAAAGATAAGTTCTAACGGATTGAGCTTGAACATTCACTTTCTACATTCCGTCTTGTAAAAGATTTGAAATGATCTGATTATTGAGTGAATAGTCGTTGAACAAATATTGGCGTGATCTCTCGAAATCTTTTTAGTACACTACATAGCGGGTATAAAAAGTAAAAGTGCTATATAATAAATATTATAACCATATAAACCATATTCCAATGTTTGTTTTTTACATAAATAATATTACCATTTGAAACCTTATTACGGAATATACTCATCTTTAACCATTACTGGTGTCGAAATATATAGATATTTAATCGAAAAAGTAATGTCATAGTACGCCAAATTTGTAGCTTTTCGCTTCAGTATCGTTGTGAGCGTTTTAGGTAAATGCTGGAAAATATTAACCCGACCACTGTTTTCAATTTAATTTATTTTGTACTATGACATCATGATTTCAAGTATCCTATGCAACAAAATTAATGGATAGTGTGGAGATAGTTCCAGAATATCCATATGCGATGATTAGAGCAAATAACGGTGGAACTAAGAAGGTGTTTTTCGAACTTTAAGGGCTATTACCATACCGTAAAGTGGGAGGACCATATGGAAGGCCACCATAACAAATAAACAGTTATTATTCCTTGATTTACTGGACGAATAAAACAAACAGATTATTTAATTTCTCATCGTCAGAAAAGTAAATCTCATAACATGTGGCAATAGTTTGAGCTATGGCAACGCTGGCACCTAAAGACGGTGATCATCACAAAGTCCGTTTTCGCGGAGCCGGGGCTTACGATTGAATTGGATTCTTCTGAAGGAATATGTTAATCATTGCCCAAACTTCACTGTATTATGATACACTTTGGCAGGCAGAACAAGCACGAGATATATATTTTATATTTCTTCGGTCCATCATCGCAAATTGATATTTGGGGTACCTGCATGCTTTTGTTGAATCGTAAAATACTCTAGTTGGTTCATTCGTAAGATGTCTATATATCTATGCTATTCTATTACCTCTCATATGGTATTTATAATTATATATGTAGCTGTGATGCACTCTCTTTGTGTTTGATATATTTACATTACTCATTTCATTTTTATATAATACGTACTTTGTAACTGTATTAATAATTATTTATTACTTTGACATGAATAAAATTATATTTGATTAGACCAAGTTTTATTTCTACGTTGTCACTCATCTAGAAACATGATTTTCCCTGGATTGAATTTTGTTTCTGAGTCCGCCTCTGTTTTTATTTCCTTCATACGAAAAGTATGACTGGTTGCCTATGCGTAGACACAAGCAAAAATAATTTAAATTCGACCAATATATGAAGCGCCATTGCCGATACTACTTCAAGACAATTAGATATCCGTATTTGCAAGAATTTTATTTGTTGACGGGAATGTCTGTCTGTTGGTTTATCCGCTCATTCTCATAATTGGTTGATGAATTGAATACTAGCAGTTTCGGAAAATTTGGGAAAGGGGCTTGTGCTCCAACAGTTATTTTTGATTCAATGCAAGTATAAATCGGTTTTGTAATTTATATTTATCCTTTTCACTTGAAGAAAAAGTTTGCAGCCACGTAACCATCCAAAGCTCTATGAAAAAAGATGTAAATACAGAAACCTCTTCAACAAGAATGATCGCAAAAGGCGGCAACATGGCAGTAACGCTGGGCGAAATTGCCGCCATGAATTATTGACAAATGCATCAATTTGTCTTTGACAGTTGACATAGCAGAGTGACAGTTGACAGTGACAGTGTCAGTGTGTCTGGCGAATGATTCGCATGTAAATATTTTCCTTCGGTGTACGAAAATTGATATTGTTATAACTGTACTACCTAGTGCATTTTTCACCAAAACTGTAAGCTATCGATTCGCACATAAACTACATCAAAACTTTATTGTTCCTTATCGAAAAGCATTGAATCATCTTCGGTTGCTGCGTAATCATCAGGTGATTTGCTGCGCATGCGCTTGAGAAACCCGCCAACATGGAAAACATACGAATCTGTTGGCATTCGCTTTCCAAGGCTCACGCGACCGGTCGCCGCTGTTCGGTCACGGTCCATCTAGCACCATGCCGTCCGAAAAACTAGAGAAAAGTTCCAAGATTGTTATGAAAAAATTCAAAATGGACGCGGATATTCCCCAAAACAATTCCCAGCAAGAGCTGGTGCGCGACGCCGAGGAGGCCGGCGAAGAAAATGAAAGATCTTTGAGAGACCTTAAGTTTCGTGAGTGGGTTGCAGTTTTCGTACTATGTTTCGTCAACCTGATAAACTATATGGACCGATTTACTATTGCCGGTAAGTTCGATAGACGTAACATTCAGTTTTCATTCAAGATATTCGATTCGTTCTAATGCTTGTAGTTGGCACACTTCTCTTGAAAGTGTTAGCGAACTTTCTTCAAGCTCAAAGTGATTTGATTATGATTAATCTCAGTATTCTTATATTTTATATCTAAAGACGAGCTTAGGAATTAACAACTTACATAATCTGTTTGGCATGACTATATAATACTTAGTTATATTTTTTCTATAAGATTTGTTATGTGCTTAATTATTCCCCAGACGATCTGCTATAGTTTCCTAAACCCCCAATATTTTGCATTCTCTTTGGATATGAAAAATTTACCATGATGTACTGTTGCTATCAAGCTTCTTACATGGTCTTATGCTTCAACAGACTACACTTATTATAAACTTATAGATTCTACCCTCACCAAAAAAAAATGTGGCAGGGAAGATATCAAAATATACAGACTCTTCAAAAGTAAAAAATCGCTTTACGCAGAAAAGATAGATGGACTGTTCCACTCACTCATTGATATAAACTTAATCTTCTAGTTCCAGGATCATTTGAACAATTTGAAGTTGAATGTTGGAAAATATGAATTAGGAAAATAATTTCAACTCAAAAACGTTTTACTACACACACAAAATGACTAGAAACTCATAAAACAAAGGTTGAGAATGCTTATAAACTCTTCATTCATGAATTATCAAAAATTGTAAATATGTATTCCACAGGGTATTATCCTGGGACCACTTTTTTTTATTTCATATATAAATGATCATAAAATGCAAAATTCAAATTTTCGCTGATGATACTTTGATTTATATAAGTAATCAAAATATTCAGACTAGTATCTCTTATATAAATGAAGACTTGAATCTTGTTTCAAAGTGGTTAGCATCTACAAACTCAAATTGAATACAAGTAAAATGAAGGCTGTTAATTGAAAAAAAAGCAATGTACAAATGTTCAACTAAATAATGATGGTGAAGATATTGAATTCATAGAAAATTTTAAATACCTTGAGGTTTTTGTTGACTCAATTAAATTTTGATATTCATTATGAGAAAATTTTAAACAAGATTAATAGTAAAGTCGGATATTCCATTTAATTTCCAAAAAGTATATGCTACTGTGTACTCCATCAAGGGTTGATTGAATATATCCAGTTAAATACAGAGATAAAAGACCAGAATGCTGACAATTATAGCTAGCCCAGTCTGTGCAACATATGGCTTGCATTTACCAATTCTAATTTGTTTATAATTATCCTGTTTATATAGCCAAATATGCTAAGCAAGTCTTTCTACTAATACTGCTAGTCCACCACCACTGGACCAAATTTTAAAACCTACAGCTTTTTTGGCATTAGTGGTAATCTTGTATCAAAATTTCATCTCAATCCAAACTTTTACTTTTACCTTTAGAAAACGAATTCATACTTCATTGCTCCATAAACGAATGCGTTATTAGTAGAAAAATTTCTTGTTTTTACATTATCTGCAATGTACACAATACAAGCCTGAAATATAAGCACTTTTTTATTAGGGACAATAATACGAGTATGTCGACAAATTTTTTTCAACATTAGTTTAGTACAGTTTCATGTCAGAAGAGGATTAGTTTGTGTTCATCAAGTATTGTGGAATAAGTTGAGTGATTTTAAGACCATGCCGCGTGGTCCAGAAATTTCTTTCGATGTGAAAATCAAGATCATTGAGTTATACAAAGAGGGTCAACGTCAAGTCGACATTGCCAAAAATTTTAAGCTGAAGCGTAAAGCAGTTTGGGCAATATAAACAAAAAGGTATCTTGAAAGCCTCTAAGAGAAGTGGGCAGCCTAGAAAACTAAATGCTAGATCAGTTTGATTAATAAAAGTAATTTCGTCCAAAGATCCCAAGACAAATAAAAGCCGAAATAGAGACAAAAGGAATTGTCAGTGTTTCTACGAAAACTATAAGTAGAAGATTAAATGATTTGATGTTATTTACACGTCGCCCGAGTAAGAAGCCGCTAATCTCGAGGTGAAACTGTAAGGACCCATTACAATTTGCATGGTTGCATCTTGATTGGAACGTCTGTGACTGGAAGAGGGTATGTTTCAGTGACGAATACAAATTCAATATGTTTGGATCAGATGGTGTTCATTACGTTAGACGTCCTAGTGGACAAAGACTGAACCCCAAGTACACTTTGCCCACTGTCAAAAATGGAGGCAGGTCTGTTATGGTTTGGGGGTTTGGGATGGGACCTTTACATAGAAAAGATGGCATTATGGATAAGTTTGTATACACAGACATACTAAAGCATGTCATGTTACCCTATATGGAAGACAATATGCGCTTCAGATCAATCTTCCAGCAAGATAATGACCCGAAACACACTGCAAATCTCGCAACGAAATTCTTTTTGGATGAAAAAATACCAGTTCTCAAATGGCTTTTACAGTCTCCCGATATAAACCCCATTGAAAATCTATGGGAATACTTAGATAAGCAAATACAAGATAAAAATCATTCAAATGAGGATGAACTTTTTGCCGCTTTAGAGCAAAAGTGGAGACAGATTGATCAATCTTATATCAAGAAACTTCTACAATCTATGCCGAGACGATGCCAGGCAGTGATTGATAATAATGGTTATGCTACAAAATATTAACACAAACATGGTTGGTTTTCTATAATTCAATGAACTGTGGTTCTTTTTTCTATAATTGTTTTGCTTTGTCTATATAGTTCCAGTTTTTTTTCAATTGATTTTTTATTGAAGGGAGTCTAATGAAATTATTTATGTATAAGTGAGTATTTTGCTATAACAAATTATGTATACAGGTTGGTGTATTAATAAAACAAGTTAAAAAAGAAATACAGCACAATATTAATTTGTCTATATATACTTTTGTCCATTACTGTATTTAATTCTTATCATTTCAACTATTAAATCACTGCTGTTTAACATTTTGTATAAATAATGATATCAATGTACAAAGTATGTGATTCTGCAACTTGTTTTATTTTTATTACAACTTCATGCAATAATTGAATATTATACCTTATCTTCAATAGTTGCAGTGAGAGGTGCAATGTTTTTTGTGTATCAAATGGTACTATTGTGTGATAAGTATTTTAGACTGAATGTATATATTCATATTATCAGTTATGGTTATGATATATACTTTTCATTACTAATTTGTAATGCATACTTTGATAGGTAGTGCTGATTTAACATTTATCAACAACATATTTGGACTTTATCTGGTCTATAAGTTTAATGTTTCAGATTCCATGAACATTTTTGCATATATTTGTTTAGATTTAAAGTAGTATGTTATTGAGCTACACTCGGCAGTATTAGATCTTTGACTCATATTGTAGGTGAAAGAAAGGTTATTGACTAGAATGTATTCTACCTAAAGATAACCAACCTAATAACATATTCCAGCGCCAAAAAATTGTTTCACTTGAAATGAGATATCAGGATGGCGATATCCTCCAAATTTAAGGGATTTTTACGTTGCTTGGGGAATGTTTGGGCATAAAATGTACTGGGGGATTTTTTGGGGGAAAATTAAAATCTTTGGGTATATTTGGCGTATTTTATTCCTTCTTTAACTATGAAAGACTGTCCATGTTACATACAATTTTTATCTTTCTGTAGCTTTTTCTCTCCTCATGTTGCACCCATATCCACACAGCACCTACGCTGACCCACCTCTACACCTTTAGGTCGGCCAAGCCTTTAGGCTACTGGTGACGACATAACATTTTAAAAAAATAGCGGCATCCCTTATGCGAGCATTTGTTCTTCGAAATCCACCCTAATCCCTACCAGCGTTATTGAAACTCTCGTTATCTATACAAACAACACGGAACACAGACATCCTGTGCGAGAAACCTGGCGTCGATCATTAATCACCTCGATGCAGAGAGCAGGTGTTTCGCGAAGCAGCAAGAAGCTCCAGCCTGGTGTCGTAAATCCCTCCTATAGATTAATTTATGTCGATGTACACATAGCGAACAAAAAAGAGAGGCCTTTGTTAGGCTTGCAAAATTTCATACCGTCATCCAGGAATATTGCGGGAACCGGCTCATTTAACCCCCTCGCTGCTTTATTGATACATGGAGGGAGGGATAATGGATGGAACTGTGTCAAAGACTACATACAGGATGTCTGGGATAAGGTTTCATCTACGCATGGTGTTCCACGTAGAATTCCAGTCATTGATTACTTAAAAAGTTGCGGTAAAACAATTATAAAAATGTGGGCTTATAGTATAACTGAAGGGAGCCATTCGGGTAAAATATTTTCAAAATGATGACGCGTCAGGTCGTCTCGGAAGTATGTACTTGCTTTGGTTCAAATTCGACCCTCAACATTGGAATCCCGGAAAAGGTAAGTGATACGAAGTCTCTTAAACGGGGCAAAGTTGCGTATTTAAAAAGTACTTCCGGAAAGAGACGGAACAAACGAATGTTCTCAAAATCGTTTTAGTTTTACTACAAGATGGCACAATCAGAATTTCAATATGACGTATCATCTACTGTCCTCCAGTAGCAGCTATATTTTTCCTTAAGGACGTCATATTAGATTTTTGCACAGATGAATAGAGGTTTTAATTCTGATTCGAAAAAATGCATAATATGTGATCGATTGATATTGCAAAATCTTACTTATTTCAAGAAAACAGAGTCTCCTAGGTACGCCTTGAAATTATCATTTGTTTCGTGTTTATTTATTACAAAATCATTTTTCCTAACTTTATTTGACATGCAATTTGGAAATGGCGTGTTCAAAATTTTCAATTTCTTCTTTCGACTTCCGTCAACAACATTGATTTTTTCATGGACGTTATATCTGAATTTTGTACTACTAAGGATAAAAATATTGCTTTAAATATGTGGAGTTTATGGTGACACAAATGTATTATATTCATAACTAAATGCAGAATCAAAAATTGTGTTTGATTGCGCTAAAGGAGAGGAGAAAGAGTGGCAATGCTAATATGCAGTGCATTTTAAAATCCCATTTCAATTAAAACCAAGATATAATATTTTTCAAAAAATCCGGTATCTATACGAAACAAATGACTATTTGATAATTTCAAGGCCTATATAGAAAATACTATTTTTTATATAACTAAAGTTTTGGCAATGTCCATTTATGACATATATTTTTGGATCAGGATTAAAGATTCTATTCATCTATGCAAAAATCCAATATGGCGTGCATAAGAAAAAATAGGTTGATTCTGGAGGACAAGAGATGAAACATCATATTTTAATTCTAATTATACCATTTTGCAGAGAACAAGTCTTAAATCTTACTACAAATAAAGTCAGGAAAACATTAAATCGATTTTGGAATTTTTTTCTGTCTCTCTCCGGGAGTACTTTAAATTTCAAAACTTCCTGAGCAGCATCTAGTTGGTTATCTAAATACGCAACTTTGCACCCATTTAAGCCACTTTGTATCTTTTACCGTTTCTGAGATTCCAATGGTGAGGATCGAATATGACCCGGTAGAATGCTCGTTTTTGGATCCTAACATTTAATGAATACCATCCTATACCTAGGTTTAACTATACAAGTGACATATAAATCCGAACACCCAGTTT